TCAAAGAACCCAAAGTTGAAAATGCTATGAGGCAGAAAAGTGCTGAAACCTTCGCGAAAAACCCAGGTAGACAATTACAGCGCTATCAGCTGATGATTGACGTGTCATTGATGTGTAGTATGTAATGCTCGTGTGGAATATTACAAGCATGGGGTGCTCGAGCTCATGTATCTCACAACAGCCATAGACACCTCTAATCCGTACGCTTTCCTCTTCCGCCTGTCGCGATGTCACGCGAGAATGCAACATAATCGCATTCTGCTAGGAATGTGCCGATTTTGCGAAATGTTTGCACCTCGTCCTCTCCGCGTGATGTTAGAAACAGGATGTCGCAACCCTTATGTCATAACCTACCAAGGCTTTATCATCGCTTTAAATGTAGTTATGATAACCGCCTCATTTGAAGATGATGTGCCCAACGCGTCATTTGGCGCCTGCACACTCAACTGCAGACAATGCGCCATCCCCTACAAGTTTTAATTAACAATTTCCTCTTGATGTGAATTAGCATTGGAGCAATATATTATGACTTTGTATCTTTTCAACTTCAATATGAAAAAAATGTTCATTTCTATATTTTTGAAAAAATCTTAAATTACAGCCCAAGTTTTACTAGGTGTCGGATGCTAAGGCTTACACTTCAAATAGAATTGTCTCGGGCACATACCAGCCTTATGATTGGATGGACGGTACGGAGCTCAAAACGATTAACGGAGGAAAACTTATAATCTCTCAAACTGCTGATGCACTCGGAACTGTGGTAATGGATCTTAACATAGAATGCGTATTTTTAGAAGCCCATATTCTTCCAGAGAACTTATGTAAATTGTGTGCCAATGAACTCAACTAGCATCCGAACTAAGAATGGGGTCCTGCATACGGTGTCTGGTGATCTGGTACCCGCTGCAGATACGGTCCTTGCTGCTTTGGAAAGTGATCCGCGTTTCACGTCGTTTAAGTCCTGTAAGTTTATAAACAACAATCAAGTAGTGACCGAAGGTAATTGCGACGCTTATAGTATTGTCTGATGATTCACGTCAACTGCTTTCCTCAAACGAGTCATTCACTGTATTTGCTCCTTTGGATAAAGTTTTCTCATCGCTTCCTGATTCGCTCCTCTTGGACATCAAAGAACGAAGAGGATGTGCTTCAGGTAATTACGGTACAACCTGTCAATTACAATGAGCAAAAATTGCAAGGTTCAATTGAAGTTACACAACCGGGTGTCACGGTAAATGCAGAGCAGCCGCCCTTAAACGCAATTGATTGCTCTCGTTGTTAAACGTCCAACATGTTCTCCTAATCTTTCAAAGCTTTAAATTTTTCCCCGCGAACATAAATTGTCTAAGACAAGAATAGTTCTTTTGGGGAGGCGGCAGTCATTGCTTATGCTGAAAGTCAAATCATGAAAGTTGTTTTTGGGAGAAAAAATCTCGTTCTACGAGATAATAATTTTTGAACTTCCAAGACAATACGATTTTAGCTGTTTTAGAAGATACTGTAACAAGTTTCAGGTGAAGAACAAGGTCGTGTGATACCTCCGCCGTTTTGGCATCCCGGAAGCTCGTTACCTTTGGGACTTGCTGTAATGCTCATTGTAAAAATCAATCCATTAATGAGAATAGGATATTACTAGTACTACAGTAGTTAGACGACAAATGAGTGAGGCATAAAACATAGATTTGCTTAAGAAGCGTTCAAGTGGGAATTGATGGATCACGAGCTTTTGGAATTTCATAAAAGAAGAGGTGTCGGAAAGTGTTATCTTTCCACCTTGTATTCCCTTGCTATGGCTTTCATATTGGATTATAGCCATATTAACGTGAGAATCAACATAGTACTTGCTACTAAGAAATGCTACTGACAGTCAACACATCAGCTTGTAGATTAGTGAAAAAGGTATACAGTAGGTTGCAGACTTTCCACTATGAATTCTCTTGGAAAGGCTCATTGATTATTGTTATAA